TGGCACGGAATTCCCAGCTTTCAGCCAAAAAGCATTGAATATCCTGATTCCTTTCACAACAACTTACTTACGCTTTTCTCCTTTGGCAGCTATAAAGTCAAAGTATCGTTCAAGGCTAGATATTGCTAAAGAAGTTAGAGTGGCCATTTCTGAAATTACACCATGTTTTGATAAACTTTGTTCTCAAAAGCAGGCCCATCCATCACACTGAACTTTGACATTTGAATGTTTGATTTTCTTTGCAGAAAAAAAAATTAATACTTGTTAGTTAAATATCGTTTCATTTCAATAGATAAGTATTTTGGTTACCGTATTTACGCATGTATAGGCCGCACATTTTTTGCCAAAAATTCAAGAGGAAAATTGGGGTGCGGCTTATATTCGAAATATTCGAAATCACACTTCATTTAAAAAATTATATTCATAATTAGTAATACAGGTTGTTCAAAGATCGAGGAAACCGGGGCAGCAGCGTAGAGCGGATGGAACGTTTCTCCGCGACTACTGTGCCCCTCCCCGCTAGCGAGAGTGCAGTCGTGTCGCTGATACCCTTACATCAGTTTCTGTACATGCACACATTTATAAGAATACTGTAAAAAGATAACACAAACTTACCGTGCTTTATAACAGGTGCTGAAAGTGACCCCCTTCTGCTTGCAAACATGCTTCGCATCGCATGAATAAATTATGCGACACTTTCTGAAGTTGGTCCACGGTAATTGAACCATATTACTGTTCATCACTTGACTCGTTACTGTCGATGTCGCTCTCGCTCGAAGTTTCGCTGTCAGGTGATGTCAGCCATACAGCGTCATCTTCAGTCCCGTCCATTGCGTTGGAAATGGATGTGACTTTAAAACTTTTGGAAACCATTTCTTCTGGTATGGTGTTCCATGCAGCCACAATCCACTCACACATTTGACTTAATGAAGGTTTCTTCAATCGTCCAGTCGGCGTCATCTCCGTGGAACCGCATCTCCAGTCCCGGTAAAAGCGCCGCAAATGAGACTTGAAAGGACGGTTTATTGACACGTCAAGTGGTTGTAACATGCCAGTCATCCCCCCTGGTATCACAACCATATCACTTTTCTCCTGCCTCATCTTCACTTTCACATTTTCAGTTAAATGGCTTCGAAAACTGTCAACCACTAACATTGACCGCTGACGTAAAAGTGCGCCTGGGCGCCGAAACCACACTGATTTCAACCAATCCAGATAGAGCTCTTCTGTCATCCATCCTTTTTCTTGAACTCTCACCAAAATTCCCGGTGGAAGCTTTTCTTTCGGCAATGTTTTGCGTTTGAAGATTACAAATGGTGGTAGTTTGTTTCCATCAGCAGTGATACCAAGCATTACGGTACACCGCTGCTTTTCTGCTCCTGCAGTCCGCACATGCACTGTTTTTTCGCCTGCTTTGTTCACTGTACTTTCACCCGGCATTTCAAAGAACACAGGAGTTTCATCAACATTTCCAATAGCTCCCATGGTGTAGTTGTGCGTCTTTCTTAATTTCAGGACATGTTTTTGAAATGCAAGCAGTTTCTCCTGGTATGTGTCGGGAAGGCGCTGCGCTATTGACGTCCGTCGCCGAATTACAAGATCATGTCGGGCCATAAAGCGCCTTGCCCATCCATAACTTCCCTTAAATTCATTACGAGGAATTTTCATTCTGTCCGCTATTTTGAGGCCTTCAAATTGAATCATTTCCACAGACACTGAAAATCCATCCGCCCGTGTATTACGCACGTATCGCAAAAGTTTATTTTCAAGTTCTGGAAATTTAGCTTTCTTTCCGCGGAAAGATTGTCGATTTTGTGACGTTTTTTCAAGGGCATCTTTCGTTAGTATCCATCTTCGCACATTTTTTTCGTCAACGTCGAATTTTCTCCCTGCTGCTCGATTTCCGTGTTCTTGTGTGTAACGCACCACTTGAAGTTTAAATTTAGACGTATAACCTGCTCTTACTCGACCCATGTTTCACTCAGAACTAACCAGGCAAGTCAAGTAAAGGCGAAAAGGTTATAACTCTCCCCCGCAATGCCTTTGTTCCGAGCGGTACCGTTATTTTCGCTAGTTGCGAACTTAGGAATGTTAAACGTTGCCAAATTTCGGAATAATTTCTACTCCTGAAATAATATTCCAAGAAAATTATTTTTTTCTATAATTTCTGTCTGAAAATTGTGCTGCGGCCTATACATGCGTAAATACGGTAATTGCAAGCGTTAAAACAAAATTTTATTGTAGGCCTAATCTTGTGATACTTTAATTTTTAGTAAAAAACTGCTAAATAGAAAACCAAAATAAACTGAATAAACGTCAAGCATACCATGACTTCTATTTTGATAAAAAAAACAGGCTGGGGGCCTGAGAGTATTTTCTCTTGTCAGGGGGGGGGCTCAGAGGTAAAAAGTTTGAGAACCACTGTCCTGACAGAATTACAGAAAATCTCGTATGTTTTGAATGAAATGACAGCAATTGTTTTATGGAATTTATTATCAGATATTTTTTAAACCATATTTCTTACTCTTTTAAAACATTTATTATTTTATATTGAAGTTCAAACTTGCCTTTTCCACTAATTAACAAATTTGTATCATCTGCAAATAAGATCATCTTTGCCCCCTGCACATTTTCTGTGATATCATTTATATAATGAAAATAAAAGTGGCTCAAGAACTGAGCTTTGCCACACGCCGTGCTCCACCTGCTTGCATGATCAGATGTCATGCAGTCAGTTTCCTTAATTTCAACAGACTGGAGATTATTTGGCAAATATGATTTGGACCACAAATATGACTCACCTCTTACACCTTATGCATTTAATTTATTTAATAATATATTGTGATTTATCATATTGTATGCTTTCAGTAAATGAAAGAATAATCCTATGGAATGAAGTCCTCTATCCAAGGCACCCTGTATACTTTCAATGAAAGTTTGACTTGCTGTGTCAGTTGATTCATTTCTTCTACAGACATTTAATACATTATTATCCACTAAAAATGGCATTAACATATTATACATTAATATCTATTATTTTGGAAAATACCGATAAAATAGCAGTAGGTCTGTAATTCTTTATATCGTGGATGTCCCCCTTTTTATAAAGACTTTAGTTGTTTTTGATTTGTCTGGGAAAATGCCTGAACTTAATGTGGCATTATAAATATGAACTAGTGGCTTTTCGTATGTTTTATACATTGTTCCACAAGACGTTCCAAAATGTATTCATATCCTGCAGATAATTTGCCTTTTCACTTCTGGATATATGTTCAGTAACTGGATAAAGAAATATGATTTTAGAAGAGCGGTTTATCCTTTGCGTACTTGACTGAGCATTAATTGTACTCCTATTTTGATTTATGAGATCATCAGTTATTTCTACAAAAGAGTGTTTAACATACCTGCAGCATTCTGAGCATTCTGTGGATTTGATATTGTTCATGTTCCATGGTTCAATTCAATTTTCTTATTATATTTCCATGAGTTTCCAACTTTTGTATTTATTACATGCCACAGAGCTTTTGTTTTACAATTACCTCTTAAATCGTACTTATGACTTTCTCTTCGTTCAGCTTCTTTAATAACTCTTTTATAGGTTAGATGATATCCTTTTTATGTAAGCCTGCATTTCTCTTGAAATATTATACTGTTTTCTCAGACCATTTAACACCCATTCTTTTACAGCAATTACATATTCCCTGGGTAATCCAATTGTTTTTCCCTATGTTACTCATATAAACAGTTTCTAGTAGAAAAGCTACATATACAGTAGTAATAAAGGATCAAGTTCATGAAATCATTAAAACTGGTATTTACATCTAAATTTAAAACAAAACTCCTGCCATGATTCTATTTGTAATAGGTAATTAAATTCATCAATACTTTCGTTGGTAAAAGGTATTTTTCTACTCTTTACAGGGCCTCGCTTTGACCTACTTATATTACTATTTATTATTTGTGCCAAATGATCTGAATAACCCAAACCTAATACTGCTGATGAGCATTCAAAAGCTTTCTTGTTTATTACAATGGCATCTATCAATGTAAATGACTTCATTGTTATCCTGATTGGAGAAGTCATTGTATTTACCAAATTATACAAGAGCAGCAAGTTCTTCGTCCCAGCACCTCTGGGCAACCCAAAGTCGGCTAACTTCAAGCAATCTGGGATGTTGGCTAGGAGACTATGCATTGTGATACTGGGTTGAGAAATGCATTTCACTGTGCTCGACTCCTTGACTTTCATAAACGCTAATTACCTATGGGTAAGTTTTCAGTAGTTAATGAACAGTTAGCTGTCAGTAGGTGATACTGTGTAGTGCCAAGTGGTAGGATTATCAGTGACTGGTAATTATGTGGCTGACTAAATTTGAGGTACTGTGCAGGAATATTCCTGGAGAGACTGAATAAAATCTCGAAAAATAGTCTAATAAAGGCATAAAGTTGTGTCATGAAGACATATACGGGAGTGGATATATAGATCCACCATTCTCGACCTCAGTACTAGTTGGAGGTAAGTAATCAGTTTCCAGCTGCGATCGCTNTATTGTGACGTGACGGTTGAAAATCGGAATACTGGGGCCAGAGCCAGACGTATGTTGCTAAGTAACGACTCGGAAATCACGTTCCCATTACAACGTATAGCAGCGATACAAGAAATTACCAGTTTAATCGGCTAGGTTTTCTTGAGGCCATGGGTTGTCACTAGTCTGGACATGTTCCATACTGGAAACTGCACGAGAGTGCTCTCTCTACTAAAATCAGTTGGTTCTCTTACTACAGTACTTATGAGTCAGGATAGGTCGTAGAAGTGGATGAGGTGAGTGGTTAGTTTTGAAATACGGATGAGTCACATGGCAGAAATAGCTTCTTTAAGAGTAGGTTTCTGAAACATAATGAAGTATGGAAGCAGACGTTGTATAGGGAGGCGCAATAGTTTTGTTACTTTTGTGAAGTTTGGTAGGACTTAATTAATGCCCTTTTTAATAAACGGCTCGATTATTTCAGCATAGTTTATTTTAATAAAAGCATCGGCGAGTAACGGGGAACTCTGCATAGAATCTTTTTCCACACTTTTGTAAAATTTTAACATATACCCAGCAGGGGGACAAAATAAGTAAAGTTCGGTCAGAGAAACAATGGACACACACTTTCCCTCTCCCGTCTATTCTGGCCTCATTCCCTTTACAAGCTGCTCTCTCATCGGTTTGTTATTGGTGCTCAAGGAGGGGAGGTGGGGGAGGTGGGGAGGGAGGTGGCTACCTTCAGGAGCCCCAGTCCATCATCTGTGTCCATTCTTTCCCTGGTCTATGTGTGTGTCTCCCAATCACGCCATGTTTCAACCTCAGTTTCCTGTGAACTCATCAGTCTGTTTGGCCAATATCAGATCACTCGTTCTAAATGTGGGAGGGGACACCTCTGCTGCTGATTTATCAGTCTGGTTTTTGAGTTCACTCTCAGTTCCACCACTTGACGCTCTCACAACAATTGCACCTCAGCTGATAAGGATGCGAAGTGTTCTTCTGATGTCACCACATATTCCTATTTTCTGCTTCTTTTCCCCTCATCTTCGTACCACTTTTCGCTGCAGAATAAAAACGTATAAATAAATAAATAGATAAACCAATATAATAAACAAACTTCAAGGAAACAACAGTATACATAAAAATAAGCAGGGTCACTTGTCGATTTACGTAATTTCGGTTTAATGTGATTGAAGAATATATTCCAGCTTCTTCATTTAAGTCGTTTTACTTCTCATTTTATCGCCATTGCGTTCTGTAACACAGGCAACATGGCCGACGACTGCGTGACGTAGAAGACAATAGAAGCTGCGCGTAAGTGTCTGCGCGCAGCGGAAGTATTATAACCTGATATAATGAAATGAAATAACAAAGAAAAAAAAAGTTGATATAAATAAAGAATATAGCCCCTCTGGGTTGGCTTGCACCGCGCGCACAAGTGCCCCCACCCCGTTTCTTTACATAATTCGTATGAAAATCAGCTTTGGATATACGAGAGCATTTTTTAGGACCGCATCTACCGCTTTAATCGACAAATGATTGCAAACAAATTACAAATATCACGTCACTGACAGCGGATTAACTGGATTAAACTGGCGCAGAGTAGGTTGTAATAATTGTAACTTCAGAATGGGGCGGGGGATTTGTTCAATAGTTGAGCGAGTGTTGGCTTCTCAAGGAGGATTGCTTTCCGCACAAACTTGTTAAATAAACTTCTATTGAGGGCACTGTGTTACCTGGCCTCCATGCAAGGGACCACATGCGCAGATCAGAGGCGTCTGTCCAGATGGTCTGCCTCCGCGCTTAATTGAAAGGAATTTGGGGATGCATGTCGAGACCAATGGTAAACTCATGGAGCCTATTCTCGAAAAGCTAATAGTCGCTCAGTCACGCAAACAAATCCATTTTTCTGTTTATCTGGAGCCAGCTTAATACATTTCAATCTTTCGCCCCTTATTTCCTAGAAGCCCATTTTTCTGAGTCCGAAAAGTTTAAAAAATTGCACTGTATTCAGTTCGTCACACGTAACAGTAGAACGCATTTTCATAAAATTTGATAAAAGAGAGTTTTAGTCAATTTTCGAGTTTGGTTGAAGTCGGACAACAATAAGGAGACGATTTACACTCGTTTCTATGCGCATTTTCAGCTTAACTCACTGAAATATATGTCACGTAAATCGCACGAAACCAGCGGCGCCGCGAGTCCAAGAGTTTCGAGATAATTAAACAGAAAGTTAGGGAACTCCACGCAATCGTTATGCAACCCGCAAGCTTCTTCCTAACCTCACTCATGCATACACCACGTGTCACAAGTCTCTCATGTCTCTCCACTGCCAGTTTAAGCATGCGACTACAATTTTGTGCTTATATCTCACATCTTTTCTATCCCTGCTGCACGTCTCGCCCATCTTCCATCGTCCTTTAAAATAAATATCTCGCCGTAAACTAACAAGATGCTCAGTGAATCCCTTGCTACTTGACTGTTTCTTACCTTCTGCCACACGAGAACTATTTTCCTGCGCGCAACACAGCTTGATTGATCGCCTTACGCGAATATTCTCGTTTTCATCCGGTCGAGTCTGCCTATAGGCGGCCCTGAAGTTTATGTTGTCGTCATTACTAGAAAGCTGACACATTCTGCAAGATCCTGGAGAATACACGGACGTCGCCTCTTCAAGGCGTGATGTGGCCTCACAGTGTTACAAAGCAGCCTAGCCTAAGGCCGGGTACTCACTACAACGCTGCAACATGCAACGCAACGGTTGCTGCAACCACGTATGATGTGTACGTTCACCGAACCTAAACTAGAACACTAGTTGCTCCGCAGAGTGCGTAGTGAAGACATGCAACCATGCCGTCTGACCGCCTAGTAGTCGCGAGTGCTGCGTACATTCTGCTGCATTACCTCATTAACGATTACAAACATCTTTGGCGTTGGTGGCAAGCTGAGTTTTACAAAAGAGAAAGTAATGTCAATGTGCTTTTAGATTTGAAATCTCAAGAAATAAGTGGGCAGTTCAAAAAATCACGCGTATGTCGCCGATTGACTTCGAATATTTATTAAATTTGGTGGGACCGAAAATAAAAACGAAGGATACAAAGTTTAGGAAGGCTTATCAGTTCAAGACAAACTGGCTCTTACTTTGAGATTTTTAGCCACCGGAGACAGCTTCACAAGCATGCAGTATCTTGTCAGGATCTCGAAGCAGGTCATCAGTAAGTTTGTAAGTTTGTCCCAGAGTAATGTTGAATTGCGATACAGTTCGATCAAATTAAGGCAAGATTCTCCAGTCCACTCCATGACCACGGTACGCTGCGATTATGAAATGTCTCTCCACACGTCAAGGAACACACTGCGCGGCCAGAATACCGACATCCGGATGCGTCACTGCGAACTGTTGCAGCAACGAAGATCAAGACCTACTCATTAGACAAATGTGGTTGCAGCAACCGTTGCGTTTCACGTTGCAGCGTTATAGTGAGTACCCGCCCTAAGCGAATCACGTGATTATGGAACTCGTTTTCGCCTGTAACTATGCTTACCACCCGGGCACGTTCTCCGGTTCGTCGCACTTGAAGGAGACCTCGTTGTACACGGTCCCAGAGGGACAGCTGCCCCGCTGGGGCATCACCCCGTTGCGACATATGTAGAATTTCTGGCAGTCGTCGGGGTGAGGGAACGTGGGGTGGGGCAGCGCCCGCCCGTTGGGGCCGATCACCTCGCCCTCAGGGCACGAGAAGCCGTCGTCCAAGGATTCTGCGCACACAATAAACGCTCATATAATAAACACGATTTTTCTTGGCGAGGGGCAACATTTTGCTTGTTCACATTTTCATTTAAACTGTTTAAGAATATTTATTTCTATAAATCGCCCCGGAACCGTGAGCCTCTGTTTTATAATACAGATGCCAGACCGTGCTTAGCTCAGGCGGTTATTCGCGGGCTTCCCACCGCAGCAGCCCGGGTTCGAGCCCAGGCCAGAATCACGTAGGTTTTGTGGTGGACATAGTGGCACTGTGGGCAGGTTTTCTCCGAATATTTCGGTTTCCCCTGCCAATTCTCATTCCACTCATCTATCTTCCAGGGCTGGGGAAATAGGCCAAATAGCGACAGACGTACCAAGCGGACTCAGTCTCCTCCACCCCCAAAGAAATTAAAAAACACACAGACGATACCGGGGGCTGTGTTCACGATCCTGTGCCATTGGATGTAGCATCATGTTATTGCACATTATTCATTGTCACTGGTTCACCGTCTCACGTGCAACGCGTCCTTCTGAAACTTGTTTGGAAGTTTCTGTACATTGCACTAGATGTTTCGACCGACATTGGTCATTATCATGTGTTTAAGAAATTGTTGGTGCAAACTGTCGTGCTTCCTATTCGTGGTTCTAATATTCTGCGTGTAGCCCCTCCCTTATACGCGCTTGTGTTGTGTGTCTATACTACGAGTGTTTACGGGTGTTTTGGTATGTTTCATATTTTCTAAACATCAGAGTAGGAGGGGAAGGGGGGCAGACGCTTGGTTTGCCTCCTCCCTCGCGGTGTTGAGATGTGTTATGGCGTCATGTAGGTACGAGAACATGGCCGAGCATGGCGGTCGGGTGTTGCGTCTTTAAGAATCCCCGGGTATAATGACTCAGGATTCTCGTGGTTTTCCTCACTTCCTCAAAATAATCCTGGGATAATACTTCAAAGTAGGCTACAGCCACTTACCACCATGAACTAAAAAACAAAAAGCACCGTGGTTTTAGTCCGAAAGCGAACTATACCGACCGAGCGACCGCCGCTTGTCGGTGAAGTTAATGCCAACAACACATGTTTATTATCATATTTAACATGTAAAATGTAAATATCCTTTACATTATGACAAATGACTTATACTACAGACTGACTCTGACAAAAGACAGACCCGTCCTATCGTCAGAGAGGGCGCCCCACAATAACAAGACCGAAACTGTCGGACAGTAATAAATATGTGGTCATGAGCCCCAGATTGGGCTCGACACGAAGACTGACTGACTGACTGACTGACCGTCAGTCGCAATGTGACTTTGACTCAGACTCAGGACAGGCGAGATCAGTGGCCAACGGAGCAGAACTGAGAATTCAGCTCAGCCAAGGTCAGAGAAGACCGGAGCGTAGATCTGAAGGCAGATCAGAAAAGACGGACAAATCAGGTCGCATCATCTGGGAGTCGTGGTTTCGGAGTGACTGTAGTTGTGACTGTAAACGAGTTGTCCAATAAAACAACTTCGTATAATCCGCAAACCATTAATTAATTATCATGGAACCCCAGACACGTGGCAATATTATGAGGAACACGCGGTAGCGTAGTTGGTTGAGGCACTATGCTACAAGCCGGAAGGTCTCGGGTTCGATTCCCGATGAGGTCACTGGATTTTTCAATTGACCTAATCCTTCCAGCCTCACTATGGCCCTGGGGTCGACCCAGCCTCTAACAGAAATGAGTACCATGAATATTTCTGGGGGTAATGGACGGCCGGGCGTAAAGCTGAGAACCTCACCGCCATCTGTGAGCCGCTTGTCTAGAAAACGTGGGAGCCTCGACGTCTCACAACCCTATGGGCCTCGACAGCTTTACCTTCAACACTCTTCTTCACATCGTTTGCAGTATCCCACTAGTAGGACAACAAAGAAGTTGTATTGCGTAGGTCCCTGGACTGTTCGTGTGACTGTGCTGCAGCGCCAGGGCATAAGCTGATTGTTACAGACACTTTCACCAAGGTGACGGACAATTCCGATGTTCAGCCATATTGGTCGGTTTTCAAAAGAGCATAAATAGAATTTCCCACAAATCCCCTGAACATTTCCAATGATTTTGTACAATTTCCATGTGAGAGAGACACTTCAGTAATTTTTGCATTTCACTTTTCCTGTTTCTAAGCATGCTTCAGTCAGCTGGTTGTTTTGTATGCCACATTACGAAACATGTCTCCTCTGTTCTGGCTAAAGCGAACTTTTGATCCCCATTTTCCTTCTGCTTTCAATTTGCGAAACTGAACCTGACAGAGGTCGCGCTGGTTAAGCCGGGGGCAGTGTAGTAGCGAGGTATGTCAAGGAACCGATACACCCATATCCGTGACAGACAGTGGCCTTCGCGTTGCTCTCTGGAGCCAGTTCGTTTGAGCAGGGGGCGTGGTTCCCTTCTGTGTCAACGTCACAATCGCACAACACTTCGTCAGTTACTGTCCGGGCAGTCAGTATCAGTACAAGGAAATTAAATAAATTGAACAAAATCTTTGGCATTGGTAGTAAGTGAGGCACTATGCTAGAAGCCGGAAGGTCGCGCGTTCAAGTCCCGATGAGGTCATTCGATTGTTTCATTTGAGCTAATCCTTCCAGCCGCACTATGGCCCTGGGGTCAACTCAGCCTCTAACAGAAATGAGTACCAGGAATCTTCCTGGGGAAAAAGGGCGGCCGGCGCGTAGGGTTGACAACCTTCCCGCCATCTGTGATTGTCTAGAAAATGTGGGAGCCTCGACGTTTCACAACCCTATGGACCTCCACGATCTGTTACAGGGATAGCTTTACTTTACTTTACTTAATTAATTAGGCACTAAGCCATGAAGGCGCATGGGGAAGTGGATGAATACTCGTAGATCTACATGTTCTTGAACTCGGCACTAGATGAAGGTACGGTCAGCTTCACGCCCCGGCCGCAACTCTAAACGACAAACATTTTTTATTTACGCAGTGATTTACAAGTTTGCACCTAATGTTGGTGACGGGTTCCTGAAGGCCAGTCGAAACAATTCGCAGCACACAACCCGCAGTAAGGGCCATTTCAGTGTCTCCTTCCCGGGAATGGGGGATTGATTGGTCAGTGATCAATTGGAGAGGATATAGAAGGGATCGGTTGTGGAGATAATATCCCAGGGCTCTGGTCTGGAAGGTGGAGAGAAACTACGAGTAACCACAGACAAGATAACACGTGAATCAGCCAAAATTGGTATTTCAAGTCTAGAGCATTAGCGCCTGAGCCATCTTAGTCGGTAAATTGTATGCAAAAATTCAGTCCTCGCCTCACAGGAAACACATTATGTCTCCGCTACAAAGCCCAACCGGTTAATGTTGTTTAGGGAAACAGTCGCTGTTCATTGTGAGAACCATACGGAACACACAGACCCAGTCCGTACCTCACAGGAAACACATTATGTCTCCGCTACAAAGCCCAACCGGTTAATGATCTTTAGGGAAACAGTCGCTGTTTGTTATGAGAACCGTACGGAACACAGACACACTATGTGGGAGGAATGCAGAGTTTATGTTCAAGCAGCTGATGGCTGCACCAACCAGTTTGAGGGCCGCTGTCGGTGTCTCACCTCTCTTGCTGTGCACGCAGTCAGTCCTCCTGCTCTCGGAGGGCCACGCGCACGTACTGCGAGTGTCGTCATAGATGAGACCCGGTGGGCAGGGCAGAACGTTGGGCACTCCGTCCACGCAGTTGAAGAACTTGTCGCACACCTGCGCGTCCGAGTGCCGGAAGTATCCGTTGGCACGTGGACAGCCCTCGCTGGGCTGCGGGTCCTCTGTGACAGGAAACAAGTTAGGCATAATGCGGACCACATCACCGTGAGACTCGTCAGTTGGTGGGAACTTGCAAAACCGCTAAAAGCATTCATAATGGGGAAGGAACTTTTCTGACAGCTGTGTACACGTCACAATTTCACGCGAAGACCTGCGTGTGTTTCGGTGCGCATCCCGAGATTAGCTCCATAAATACTCTTATTCATCGAAGGGAATAAATTTTTTCCGATGAGTCTTTTACAGAGAAGCAAGACATATTATTCTGCCCTGTTCTCTGTGCCGTAATTTGCACGATATTTAGAGATACCGAAAAAAAGAGAACTCCCAATAATTGTTGAGCTGTGAGCATATTTCCAGAATTTCTCCCCTTATTCTTATATCCAAATGGCGCCGGTTCAGCGTCTTAGAACTAAGACCGTTTCTCTCGGCTCTCCAGTGGCTTTCACTTCACCATATATTATTATTTCTTTATTTTAGATTAATGTCGGTATTGGTTGTCGGTCTGGAGGCCGGTTATCCTGCCTCCGAGTCTCTTATTTTTCCTCAGTCTCTCTCAAGTTAAATGCACAGAGAGTGAAAAATCAGAAAAATACTCGTATTCTTCCCTGATTCTTCCGAATTCACAGAAGATAATCCATCCTACGTTACGTAAGACTCGGGCTCAGTACAAGGCACTTCAGTGCCTAAGATACATCCAACTGACTATAATCGGAAAAAGAAACTCCTTCAAGTTATCTCTCCCTAGGCAAAATTCGCTACGGTCAACTAACATCACGATCCGGTATCGGTCAGGATGCAACCACCGTGTTACTCACGCAACTCGCTCCTGTCTCCACACTCCACATTGGCCGGGATGTCGCAGCGAGCCTGGCTCGGGTTTGAATCGTCGAACACTAGGCCATCAGGACACAGCTTCTCCTCGGCCTCTCCCTGCTTGCACTTGTAGTACAGGTCACACTGCACGGGATCCGGGAAATAGCCCGTCTTCTCGGGGCACTTGAACTGCGCAGACGCCGCGCGCCCTGCAACACGACGACGCAATAGTAGAGCACTTTACTAAACCTACGGCAGTCACAGAACTAACTCCATGGAGCCTGAGCCCTTCTTGTGCAGCTACTCAAGAACTTCCCAACATTCTATGGAACCCGAAGGTTCATTACCGTGTTCACAAGAGCTCTCCACTGGTCCCTATCCTGAGCCAGTAATCCAATCCATACCATCCCATCCTATCTAAGATCCATTTTAATATTATCCACCCGCCTACGTCTTGGTCGTCATAGTGGTCTCTTCCCTTCTGACTTTCCTACCAATATCCGATATGCATTCCTCTTCTCCCAACTTGTACTACATGCCCTGCCCATCTCATCCTCGTCGACTTGATCATTCTAATTATACTTGGCGAAGAGTACAAGTTACGAAGCTCCCCATTATGCAGTTTTCTCCAGCCTCCCGTCACTTCGTCCCTCTTCGGTCGAAATATTCTCCTCAGCACCCTGTCCCCAAACAGCCTTTACTTGGACATCTCCTGAAGAAAAGACTCACTAGATCTGTATAGGCAAAAATTTGTCTCATAATTTTCCTATCCAGAATGGTCTAAAACAATGAGATGCTTTATCGCTACTGCTTTTCAACTTTGCTTTAGAATATGCCATTAGGAAGGTCCAGGGAAACCAGGTGGGACTGAAATTAAACGGGACACATCAGCTGTTGGCCTATGCCGATGATGTGAATCTACTAGGTGATAATGTAGATACCATAAAGAAAAACACACAAACTTTAATTGACGCAAGTAAGGAGGTTGGTCTAGAAGTAAACACAGAGAAAAATAAATACATGTTGCTGTCTCGTCACCAAAATGCAGGGCAAAATCATAACATAAAGATAGGAAACAGATGTTTTGAAAACGTGGCACAGTTCAGATATTTGGGACCAACAGTAACAGATCGAAACCTGATTCAGGAGGAAATTAAGAGGAGATTGAACTCGGGTAATGCTTGCTACCATTCAGTTCAGAACCTTTTGTCTTCTCGTCTGCTGTCCAAAAACATGAAAATTAGAATATACAAACTATAATTTTTCCCGTGGTTCTGTATGGAAGTGAAACTTGGTCTCTGATATTAAAGGAGGAACACAGACTGGGGGTTTTTGAGAAGAGGGTGCTCAGTAGAATATTTGGGCCGAAGAGAGATGAAGTGACAGGAGGTTGGAGAAAACTGCATAATGAGGAGCTTCATAACTTGTACTCTTCTCCAAGTATAATTAGAATGATCAAGTCGACGAGGATTAGGTGGGAAAGGCATGTAGCACGAATGGGGAGAAGAGGAATTGTTACCCATAGGTCGCGGTGCAAGGGCCGAGAAGTCCCACCCCTTATACATTTATTTATTTGTTACTCGTACTTACTGAGTTTACAAAAAGACAATCTAAATGAGAGCGTCCATGTTCACACCGCTGTGATACCTTTAGACTGAGCGGTAGGTATAGATCCAGCCTGGCCTTGCGGCCACACAGACTGCTTTCCTCTTCGTTATAGGGCCGGGGCTTGAAGTCATGTAGTGCTGAGGCTAAGAATGCCTGGATCTATGCTTACCTGACCAGCTTCCCACCTTGGAGCCACCTACGGTGTACTCACCCCCAGTCACTGCTACAGTTCCCCACAGTAGCCCATCTTCACAGCAGAATTAAGGAGGTAACTTATACCAGACCTCACGGCTTCACATCCCTAAGGACATTATTCTCCATTCCATTTTACTGCTCTGATATGTGTGAAGCCGATCAGAGTGAACGGCCGTGCGGCCTAAGGCATGAACTACGAGTATCTTCGCTCGCTCGAACGCTGAGATCATGGGTTCGAATCCCACTAAAGGCATGGAGGTCCGTGTGCCTTTATTCTGTGTTCGTGTTGTGTGTGTAGGCAGCGGCATTGTGACCGGCTGATCCCCATTCAAGGAGCCCTGCCGACTGTGTATAAGTTTAAGAAACTGCAAAAGCGGCCAAGGTCCAAAGGGATGTAGAGCCATATATATATATATATATATATATATATATATATACCGTATTTACGCATGTATAGGCCGCACATTTTTTGCCAAAAATTCAAGAGGAAAACTGGGGTGCCGCTTATATTCGAAATATTCGAAATCACACTTCATTAAAAAAATATATTCATAATTAGTAATACAGGGTGTTCAAAGATCGAGGAAACCGGGGCAGCAGCGTAGAGCGGATGGAACGTTTCTCCGCGACTACTGTGCCCCTCCCCGCTAGCGAGAGTGCAGTCGTGTCGCTGATACCCTTACATCAGTTTCTGTACATGCACACATTTATAAGAATACTGTAAGAAAGATAACACAAACTTACCGTGCTTTATAACAGGTGCTGAAAGTGACCCCCTTCTGCTTGCAAACATGCTTCGCATCGCGTGAATAAATTATGCGACACTTTCTGAAGTTGGTCCACGGTAATTGAACCATATTACTGTTCATCACTTGACTCGTTACTGTCGATGTCGCTCTCGCTCGAAGTTTCGCTGTCAGGTGATGTCAGCCATACAGCGTCATCTTCAGTCCCGTCCATTGCGTTGGAAATGGATGTGACTTTAAAACGTTTGGAAACCATTTCTTCTGGTATGGTGTTCCATGCAGCCACAATCCACTCACACATTTGACTTAATGAAGGTTTCTTCAATCGTCCAGTCGGCGTCATCTCCGTGGACCCGCATCTCCAGTCCCGGTAAAAGCGCCGCAAATGAGACTTGAAAGGACGGTTTATTGACTCGTCAAGTGGTTGTAACATGCCAGTCATCCCCCCTGGTATCACAACCATATCACTTTTCTCCTGCCTCATCTTCATTTTCACATTTTCAGTTAAATGGCTTCGAAAACTGTCAACCACTAAGAAGAAAGCAGTCTTCTGGGATTTGGCACCGTGTACATGTGGTGTTAACCGACGTTTCGGAGGAACGTATCGCCCCCATCTTCAGGGTAGAAGAAAAAGTATAAGAATTCTGCAAGCGACAACACAGTGAGAAACGGTAAAGCATACTGGAAATATACCAGCTATGTTGAGCAGAGAGGGAAGGGGGGAAGTGCAAGTAAACAAGTGAAAGCATGGTGTGGGAGGGGTAGGGGAAGGGAGCTGGGACAAGCATGGTTTTGTGTAGGGGAGAGAATAGCAAGGTTAAAAGGCTGGGCTTTAACCGTAAGCTGAGGGGGGGTTGTTGTTATGTTGGTTGGTCATGGCCTTGTGGCCTTCTGGGTCTGAGGTCATATCCCGGTGGGCGGTTTTTAAGAGAACAGATAAGAGGTTTCCAAGACTTGCTGAGACGAAACCCATCCTCTCTGTTCATATTTCCGGGATGCAGTTCGATCTCAATGGCTTCCCTAATGATGCGATCCATATAGCGCGTCTTGGTGGCGAGGATGGAGGTATTCTGAAGCTGAATGCGGTGTCCCAGTTCGATGCTGTGTTCAGCTACGGCCGACTTGTCCGGATGTTCGAGACGGATGTGCCGCTGATGCTCCTTCAACCTCGTGTCCATGGAGCGGCCTGTCTGCCCAATATAGACCTTCCCGCACTCGCATGGGATACTGTATACCCCCGGTGTCCTTAGGCCCAGGCTGTCTTTAACCGGCCGGAGGAANTCTGAATTAATGGAGAACTGCATGATTTGGAAAACTAATTTTAGTGTTCTTTACAGCAGGACTTAGTTGTTCACATTGAAATCAGGAACAGAACAACAAAAATCCAACTTCCACGAGATAAGAAGTGCACAGCACATTCAAGAGGACGAGAAGAAACACATAAATACCAAACAACTAATGGCACTACACGTGAACAGCACCAAAGACATATAAAAACATAACAGCGGACCCTGGAAGATAAACACCGCCTGCAATACGCGACAAATAACACAGAATTTTTACACTGTAACGAGGAGGGAATTTTTAAAAATCTAGAAATTATTTTACAATTTCTGTAATAATTATATGTATTATGATGATTATTATGAATAACACTGATATGAATCCAAGTAGGATATTTCAATAACATGAGACTTATTTAATTAAAATGTCTGGGGATGGCCCAAAGTAATTGGAGCGAAACATGTAGCAATTATTAAATAAAACCAATGTGAAAACAATCGGATTGGTTCATTTTGGAATATTTGTCGTGTTGATGGCCAACATACGTTCCACTGCTTATTGTGAGGTTCTTGAAATATTGAAGTGAGTGATATATGAAGTTGCTGGAAGGGTAAGTTACATGCGTCTATCCTGTATGGATGTAACATGTTATCATCACGAAGTTCCGGAAGTGATCGGGTTCGAACCTCGGTGGGTACACTACCTATCCTAATTTAGGGTTTCCTCAGTCCCTTGTTACAGCGTCCGAAGCTACAGAAAGGGTGCATGCGAAACAGGCACAGAGCTGCGTCCTCTTGACGGGCAGGAACTTGGTCTGTTTATGTGGTCACCACCGAAGGAGGTCACTGCGCATCTAGATCACTTTTTAGTCATTTCGTGGGATCCGCTTCATTCTTCGAGCAAAACATCCACTTTCCTTCATTTGCCCAGTCCCGCAACTCGGTTTCCATTGAAAAGTTCAAACGCAAAAAAGCAAAAAAGTGGGGAATGTTGTTTGACATCCTTTTAATTTTTAAAGCACAGTGGCTACTACGAGTATATCTACCACCTGGTTTAACGTTAAGATATTCTGCATTGTGCACACACAGTGTATCTGTGTGTTCCATATGGTTCTCACAGTAAGCAGCGTCCGTTTCTGTAACAGCATTAACCGGTTGGGCTTTGTAGCGGAGGCGTAATGTGTTTCCTGTGAGGTACGGACTGTATCTGTGTGTTCCGTATGGATCTCACAATGAACAGCATTAACTGGTTGGGCTTTGCAGCGGTGACGTAATGTATTTCCTGTGAGGCATGGACTATATCTGTGTGTTCCGTATGGTTCTCACAATAAACAGCGACTGTTTCCCTAAACAGCATTAACCGGTTGGGATTTGTAGCGGAGATGCAATGTGTTCTCTGTGAGAGGAATTGAATTTTGAAATACTGTGTAGGCGAGCTTCAGATGTGACATCATGCGCGTATGCAAGTGCCCCGTACAAGTGAGTGACGGTGAATAAAAAATAACTTAACGTCCCTGGTTGCGAATTACAGGGCGTTACGAGACCATACTCTCGTATATTGAAGCTTACATAGAGAGAGTACATGGTAAAGTGGTTTGTTGTCCGACGTTTCGGAGACTATCTTTCCCTGCATCATCGAGGGTTGTTGTGATGGCTATTATGTTCATGTGTTGTGTCATAACACTCACCAGGCTCCGAAACGTCGGGCACAGACTTGACGCTTACATTGGCTGTTCGCCTGAGATTTTGGTGTATCCAAAAGCCTCTCAATTCGGTGACCGTACTCGCGGAACTCAAAGCCGCCGAAACGTCCCCAGTTCTATGTATCAGATGAATCCATACAAAATCCTCTCATTTACGTACGTCGATTCGTCCCCTCAGATACCTCGACTGAACTTTGTACGATTTATATTACAGCTCATCTCCCCACAAAAATATCACGTTTTAGGGGTGTGATTACAGACCTGTCTTGGATTGGCTAATGAATTTATTGACCACTTATACACACCACTCGGAGCTACAAATGATTACAGCGATATTGCTGACCTCCACATTCTACACATCACCGCAGCACCCGCTAAATATATTTCCAGTCTGCTGTGTCTTCAACAGCTTTTTCCTAACAACGGCTTCTAACAGTGGAGATTCACCGCCTCCAAGAGTCTCTCTTTTTGTTATGGGCGGTTGCCTAGAGATAGCTCAGATATCGTTTCCGCGGGAACGTTTACCGAGAGCCGTTGCTCAGAAATGGCCGTTTATTATCCTGTTGCATGGCAGTGGTTGTACCTGTTGTTTGTGTCGAGGTTCTTACCTACAACGGGTATATACGCCACAATAATGTAGTGTATGGCGAAACAATGCTCGAAAATCTCTTCATTGAGCAGTTTTCTTCAGTTGCTCTCACTTCCTCTCTCTCAGGCCCGGACATCCTCCTGATCTACTGACCTCAAATTTCCTCAGCCCCCCTCCGCTCTTCCTTTGGGTAGGAATTTCTCACCGTTCTCAGCAACACAATCTTTTAAAGGAGGTGCATGAATATGCCGGAATTCGAAAGCGTCATGTACATCCTGTGGGCATTCATCTCATATCGGGGAGGTGCAAATACAGAAAATGTGGATAGAAATATGAAAAGAGCTGTTCACAGCTGAGTATATACATACTTTAAAAATGGCACATGACATTTAGGGAGGCAGATGAGTCACTTGGCTGTTCAGACAAAACTTGAGACAGTTTCTTCAAACCTGCATTATTACGTTAAAAAAGAAGTACAACTTCTGAGCCTTCTGTTGATGAATATATGTATTTGCCTTTTTATAGTTTTTAAAATAGTAGCTCTACAGCGATATTTTTTATTTATTTTAATCGGCACTACTTACACCATTAAATATTCCAATTATTTTTTTCTTTTTTTTTTTGTCTTTTAGGGTTAGCTTTTGCTTCACTAATCTGGATTATCGCTTAATTCGAATGACATTCACCCCCCCCCATTTACCCCGGATTAGCGAGGGTTTACTGTACGTGTTCGTGCAGGCTGGAGTTACCCCTTACAATACTCTGTCGCATTTCCAGTTACCCTTGTCCGACGCCTCCGTCTGGGCCAGCTGACAGATTCCAAACACGCCACGACAGACTCCTCCTACTCCCTGTTGATATTCTTTATTTTGATGCTACTTATGTATCAGGGGAGGCTGCAGACAGAACCGTAACAGTCGCAAGGCTGCTGCAGGTGTAACCATGGCAACAGAGTACTGGGAGTGAGGCAGTGACAGTTGTATAGCCTTGCGAGGCTGTGCGCACGCCCACATTTCCGGGTCGTGTTAAATGCCATCTTGTTCCTCTTAACTCTGACTTTCAAATGACATCATAATTATTTTCTGTTTATAAAAAGGAAAAATCCCTTCCTCACAGGATACACATGGTGCTTCCATTTCTACGTGTTTCCAAAAGTTTTCGAAAAAGAATTATTCTAGACTAAAGGACGGAATATTGCCATTACATCAAATTTGCTCTTCATTAGAAACGCAGCTGTCTTTTCCGGAGCAATTATAAAGCTGAACAGCGTCGGTATTTTCTACTGAATATTTTATGATTTCCAGTTGTAATTTCAACGGGATCCATGCTAGCGTATTATCAACGCATTTCACACCCTCTTAGACTGTTAGGCTGCATTCCTCTGTCACGGAAGGCAAGCTCCAAGTTTCGAGACAGCTGACCGATTTCCATGGAACTTGAAGGCACCGTTTTGCCACGTGAGCCATTCATGAACTCTGCATAATAACTTCCTAACATGAATGTTGACAGTATGATAAGTAATAGTAAAGTTGCCCCTGTAGTTAAGTAATTAAACACTACACCATGGCCCTAGGAGTCGGGATGGCTCAGTCGGTATAGCGACTGGCTAAAGGCTGGACGGCCGAGGGGTCGGAGCTCGAGAATTTTCTCTTCTCCACTACGTCCAGACCGGCTCTGCGGCCCCACCGAGCCTCCTATACAATGGCGACCGGAGTCTCTTTTCCCGGCGGTAAAGCGGCAGGAGCGTGAAGCTGACCACTCACCTCCATCTAATGCCGAGGTCAAGAACATTGGAGCTACACCTCCACTCCCGCACATGTCTTCATGGTATGGTGCTTAACTTACACCTATACCACCCTGTGGTGGATTCAACTACTGACAGAAATGAGTACCAGGAATCTTCCTGGGGGTAAAGGTAAGGCTTACAGCCTCACCGCCATCTGTGAGCCGACTGTCTAGAAAATGTTAAAGCCTCGAAGTCTCACAAACTTATGGACCTCCACGGCCTGTTACGGGGATAGCTTTACCTTCTTTTACCTAGACCGGGATAGCTCAGTCGGTATAGCGACTGTCTACGGGATGGACGAAGGAAGGGTCGGAGTTCGAGTCCCGGTAGGGTCAAGAATTTTCTCTTCTCCATGTCATTCAGACCGGCTCTTGGGTCCGTCCAAACTGCTATCCAATGGGTACCGGGGGTTCTTTCTCCGGGAGTAACACGGCCGGGGCGTGAAGCTGACCACTCGCCTCCAGCTAGTGCCGAAATCAAGAAAACTTGGATCTCTACATCCACACCCCCATACGCCTTCATGGCGTAGTACTTAGTTAGTTAAGCACAGGGACAATTTCACGATTACCATAAAGATGTATGGGGGAGTGGAAGTATAGCTCCGCCTCGGCACTAGATAGAGGTGAGTGGTCAGTGTCAGAATAACCGTGAGATACTTTCTCATTGGGGCCCGGGGGTCATGCAGCTTCGTGAGAATGTGTGACTTTTTTTGTGTGCAAGATAAAAACGCGGCTTTCGGTTTGGTGGCAATACCGAGCCGCCACTGGAGGGAGGAAGGCATGTGAAAGTTGTACAGGGATAGAACCATGCGCACAATGTATGTCAGGCAGTTGGAAACAGCGACGACGCCAAACTTCGGAATTTTGTCCCACAAACTGAACGCAGAGCTGAAGGCGCTTCCGCTAGCAGTTCCTTCCCGCTTTCAGGATTCATTGCGACGGTCCATTTACACATGAAGCCTGAATGTCCAACTACCCTAATTTATTCCTTCTACAAGAAGCATCAAGCCACAGGGGCGCGTGGCCGCTCTTACCATCTTCTTCTGGGCCGTCCTGAAGTTGAGAGCCCCGCCGTTTGTCCGGGAATTCTATTTCCAGCCATGCGTCGTGCGTGCTTCCAATTCTCTCTGATCCCAGTTGCATTTCTATTCAGTCCAGTCACTGATCCCAAGAGAATCGCATCTTCGTCCCGGGGCGCCATGACTTGCGTTTCAGGGCTACAGTTTTCTTTTATAGAATTTCACTATCCCAGCTCAGATTATTACACACGGCCTCCAGTAAGACGCGGCACAGTCGGTATGGCGAATGGCTACGAGCTGGACGGCCGAGGGGTCGGAGTTCGAGTCCCTCTAGGGTCAAGAATTTTCTCTTCTCTGTAACGTCTAGACCCGCTCTGAGGCCCGCCCAGCCTCCTATCCAATAGGTACCGGGGGCTCTTTCCCCTGGGGTAAAGCGGCCGCTCATGAAGCTGACCACTCACCTCCAGCTAGTGCCGAGGTATAGCCCCTAGACTACAGGCCACGAACACAGCACACTCACTGACAGTCTGCTAGGTGGGCACCAACGTGTCGGTGAATCATTTGTTTTCATCCGTGAAAACGGAGACCGTATGTCCCCCCGAAACATTCGTAACCATCTACTGCACTATACGGTGCCAACTCACAAGCCAACACAGCACTTAACACAACATCGCCGGGGTGGGGTTCGAGACCAGATGTATGTAATGGACCCAACACAGCAGGTTTCAAAATTTCGCCTGACGACGTAAGCAGCACCAAGTTTCGAAACACCGTGTCTCTTTAACCAGAACGGGATACTGAAAAATACCCTGCACATTTATCAGTTTTCACAAATACAGTCTGTAGAACTACTTGACTGTAAGAGTAGGGTGGTGCATAGTACATTAAACCATCTAAATAGGCTTACCTGCTGAGAAGGCTACCAGTGCGAGCAGCAGCTGCGATGCGAACGCTGTAGTCATGGTTACGGACGTTTCTCTACTGCGCCTGCGGCCTGCAGTCTGACTGCTGCCCCCTCCCCTCCCCCTGGGCTTATATACGTACGTTTTGTTATTTCGCAAGGTCCGCTCCTTCATTTCCACTGTCACCCCTCTCCTCTCACCCCCTCCATCCATCTAGGACTCGCTTATGATTCCGCGGACACTTCCCGGGAACGGAATGAAAAATGAAAACAGAAACCGAACCCCCTTACAAGTATGCAAACCTGTATTTCAGTCCACTCAGTCTTAATTTCCATGGAAATTTCCATTCAGAAAAAATGAGTTCGTAGTCTTAGACGTGCATATTCCCGAATACAGGTATAACAACATTTCTTGCATCAGACCTCTGTCTGAGGAACCAGGGTACCTGGACGACCAAGGGGTCGGGGTTCGAGTCCCAATTGTGCAAAGGATTTTCGCTTCTCCATGTCGTCTAGACCGGCTCTGGGGCCTGCCCAGCCTCCTATACGATAGGTACCGGGGGGTGAAGCAGTCGGCGCATGAAGCTGACCACTCACCTCCAACTAGTGTCGAGGTCAGGAAAATGTGGATCTATACATCCACTCCTCCATACGTCTTCATGGCGTAGTGTTTAGCATTAGACCTCTGTCTGTAGGTACACCAATGCGCATAGTTCGCTTGTCTCCCCGTCTCTCCCATTTTGTTCGCATTTCCACTACTAAGTCGTTCCTGCCGTGTGATAATTCGAATATAGTGGCTGAGCTTTTCGCATTAAAAGGAAGGTTAATTTCTGTTACAACTTACGACCGCGGGGACTTTTCTGGACGCCCATCATGCTCCCCCATTGGGGCCTATCTGTAAATGTGAAGAAGTGGTAGTCGAATTCTCTAACGCCCACACAAGTCGCCGGGCAGCACAGTCTGCCAAACACTCTGAATGTTATCTTCCTTCAAAGCATCCAAGTCTGAACTTCTACTGATTAACCATTCAAAAATCCAGTCCGCACTTTGCAGAAAACACATTACGTCTCCGTTACAAAGCCCAACCGGTTAATGCTGTTCAGGGAAACAGTCGCTGTTTACTGTGAGAGCCATACGGAACACACAGCCACACTCACACACACACAGACACACAAATAAGGAAAGTGTAGAGTTCTTACGTTTTCTACATTTAAAGTAAAGCTAAGGTAAAGTTGTCCCTGTGCTTAACTAATTAAGCACTATGCCATGAAAGCGTAGATGGGATTGGATGTATAGATCCGTGTTTTCTTGGGATCGGCACTAGCTGGAGATGAGTGGTCTGTTTCACGCTCCTTCTGCTTTACCACCGGTGAAAGAATCCCCGCTACCCATTGGACAGGAGGCTGGGTGGATTCCAGAACCGGTTTGGACGACGTGGAAAAGAGAAAATACTTAATCCTACCGGGACTCGAACTCCGACCTCTCTGCCAGTCGCTCTACCGACTGATTCTACATTTAAAGTGTGTTATTTATAGCGTCCGTGATAGGATCACTTCTGAATCAGGAACAGCTGGAATGAAAATTGCCAGGAGGAACCGAAGCAGTCATAGAAAATCCACCCAGTGCCACTTTGTTCACCACAAATCCCACATGTACTGAATTGGGATTAAGGCCCGGGCCAATGCAGTGGGAAGCCAGTAACTCAAATAGGTTATTTAAAATTATTTTGGAAATGGGACCTGTTCATGAGGTAAGCGTAAAGCTATCCGAGTGGAGGCTCATAAGGCTGTGAGACGTTGAGGCTCACACATTTCTATACAATCGACTACAGATGGAATTGAGGTTGTCAGTCTCACGCACCGGCCACCCTTTATCCCCAGGAAGATTCCTGGTATTCATTTCTGTTAAAAGCTGGAAGGATTAGGTCAATTGTAAAATCCAATGACCTCATCGAAAATCGAACCCGCGACCTTCCGGCTTGTTGCATAGTGTCTCTACCAACTACGCTACCGCTTGCCCCGCTATTGTGAGGTACTGTGAACCAAAGCATTTCCCCTGTCTTACCTGTTTGTTCTCAGAAGTAGCCTCGGCCAGAGCTCTGAGCTGCGGTTTGTGCCTTGTTTCTGGGGCCTCACAAAGGAACTTCTAATTTGTCGAGACTTACAGTGAAAGGGCGAGTTGGTGGCGTGTGGAAAGTCAGAATTTCGGGGCCCACATTGCTGACAACTAATTAGTGCTAAAGCCCTGTACACGAAAGCAAGTTTTTGTAGTTTGTTAAACTCTCCTAAACATGGTAAAAATGATGTGCGAATTTGTGGATGTTCCTCATATCAAATTCGAAGAAAATATGCTCAACAGTTTAGGCGTGGATAGACGGAAATACTTCACCCCCCAATTGCGGCCTTCGGCTTTTACTTTGTAAAGAACGCCTTATATCTAATCTGAATCAGGGCTGGGTTCCATTTGTACATCCTCGTGAACAACGCCTTTCATGCGTTGTACAGTCTGTAGCGTGCAGCTTCCTGCTGACACATGTTGCCCTTGGCTCTGCTCTGCAAGGAACCAACGAGCAGGACTTGCAACCAGAAGTCGGCGTTGAGCTGTACCGAAATGAGTTGAAACCTGCTTCCTCCTGTGAGTTGATATGGTCCGAATCTTTTCCCGGCGGCCACTCCTGTCGACGTGGAGTTGAAGTCCGTTTCCATCTTCAGGAGTTAATGAAGTTACTACGGAGAGTCGGTAAATAGGTCACAAATGGAAGTAAACCAGCTGTAATGGATGTAATAGTTTCTCTATACGTATCACTAGGTCGCAGCAAAGGTCAGCTTCATGGCAGTGTATGTAATAGACGCGCATGCGCATGTTCAGAGACTGGTTTCAGTAGTGAAATTGATGACCGTAACAACCTAAGAGCGGCGTTCTTTTGTGCGTTTTTCTATTGGTGAAAGAAATCAATGTAGGGGCTGTTCATAAGGAAATGTTTCCTGTTTACGGTGGGAAGTGTTTGTCGCGTAAAGCGGTTCACATCTGGGTGAGAAATTCTATCAAGGACGTTCGAAAGTCGTAAATGATGCCCGACCAGGTGCGGAAGTGGCTGAAACAACAGTCAAAAGACTTCTATGCTGCGGGTTTCGACGCACTGGTAAAGCGATGGGTCAAGTGTATCAATGTTGGTGGAGGATACGTCGAGAAATGAACTTTTTTTTTTCAGTTTCGAATATCGCGTGTTTTACGCTACATATCGATTATTTACCTGTTTACTGGTGACTGTAACTCGTATTTTCTTTTCTGCCCCCTTCACTCTCCCGTTACAAATCTCACCAACAGTTTTCGTAAAAGAGTATTTTCTTAAAAAGAAACTCAATCTCCGTCGATATATTTGAACCTTCCTGATGAGAATATGGGTTTCGGACTTGTCCAGAATTGCAGGTGTTCGATACCAATTCGGTATACCATCATGAACATGTGTGGAATGCACAGTGTCACACTCGACAGGAAGCCCATCTCTTGAGCACCGCCTAGTGAGCCCCACGTTTAGGTCGCCCGTCACCAGGCCGTTACGCGCTGCGCACGCAAACCTGCTCCCTGCTACGTCAGAATATATGGCGTCTTGTGGGTCAGCAACTCGATGCTAGGACCATGAATTGGAAAAGATGTTGAAGGAAGTGGTCGTGGCCTAATCCATGTAATATTCCTGGAATGTACTTAAAGGGACTAAGAAAAATCACGAAAATCCGTGATCACCCCAAGTCGGTAAGGCAGAGAGTGAATAGAGCGTCCCTCTTGCCTATTTGTGTGATAGGCCCACGTGACCTTGGCACGTTTCGTACGAGTTGCCGCATAAGCACGGCGCTTGAAATCAAGTTCACGGCGAGCTGACACGCCTTTCAATCACGTGAAGACACTTACGGCGCCGTTGCCAGGTACCGGGGGAGTTTCTGTTGCCATGGGCGAATACGTCTCATAGGGTATAAAATAATAGCAAACCCTCGCTAATCCGGTTACAGTTAATCCGGATCGAAAAATAAAAAATTCTATTCACAGCTGAGTACATACTTTAAAGAGATAACTGATGTTTCGGAAAAAACGCGCTTCTTCCATCTTCAGGGTCAAAACGTAAGCAACCAAGGTAGATGTCTGGTCCTCGCTCCTTGCTGATTCCTCCCTTGTTCTTCCCAAGTCTCGCTTACCAGTATACCTGGGCAACTGAGCCTCTTGATGCGTGTTACTGGTTCAGATGTATGTTCCATTGTGACATTACGTCATGTTTCGGTTGAAGCCCCCACCCCGCCTCAGGTGAGATGCTTGCAGTCTCCCCCAGCTTTGGATCTGACCTCCCGATCGCACTGTACAGGTTTGTCCGTGGCATTCCCTTTCTTCAAGTTCATGTTTTCCTCCAAAAAGTTCTCCCTGTGCTTAACCAATGAAGCATTACACCGTGAAGGCGTATGGGGGAGTGGATGTGTAGATCCACGTATTCTTGACCTCGGAACTAGTAGGAGATGAGTAGCCAGTTTCACGGCCCTGTCGCTTTAACCCATGTACCCATTGGGTAGGAGGCTGGATGGACCCTAGGTTACTGCATTGTAATTATCTCTGCGTGTCCGTTCGTCCTGACCAGCAGCGTCCTAGTACTTAATATTATTACTACTATGACGTCATATATGAGCTATGACCGTGAACTTCATATGTCCGCTGCGGAGAGTGGCCGTCCACAACAGAGAGAGGCCAGTCGAGATGCAGTCACGTCTTGGACCTCCGCAACTCTTTCTCTACACAGGATGTCCCAAAACTTCTTCACGCAAATGTTGTTAAAGGTGAAGTTGTCCATGTGCTTAATTAGTTTATCACTATTCCATGAAGACGTGTGGGGGAGTGGAGATATAGCTCCATCATTCTTGACCTCGGCACCAGATAGAGGTGAATGGTCAGCTTCGCGCCCCGTCCTCTTTACCCCCGGTAAAGAGCCCCCGTCACCCATTAGATAGGAGGCTAGGTGGGCCCCAGAGCAGGTCTGGACGTAGTGGAGAGAAGAATAAACTTGAATTTCCGGGAATCGAACCCGGGCGTCGATAGAGCATGAAGCATAGGTGACGGTTCGGGG